GACGGTACCGATAGACGTCCACCGCGTTCAGTCGGGGGCTCGTGGAGGAGGACGGTACCGATAGACGTCCACCGCGTTCAGTCCGGGGCTCGTGGAGGAGGACGGTACCGATAGACGTCCACCGAGTTCAGTTGATCGCTCGTGGAGGAGGACGGTACCGATAGACGTCTGATTCAATTCAATTCAATTCGGTTTTATTTGTATAGCGCATATTTACAACAACAAGTCATCTCACAGCGCTTAACAAAGGCAGAGACCGAAACACCCAACAATCCAAACATCTGGATTCCCTATAAGCTTCGTCTGCAACAGTGGGAAGGAACCGAAAACCCCCACAGGGGAAAAAACATCTCCAACAGAACCAGGTTCAGGGAGCGACGGCCATCTGCCTCCACCGGTTGGGTGGATGTAGGATGAATTACCCTTATACTTATGGGGAATACTTGTCAATACTGAATATAGAGAACGGACAAGACAGAGGAACAGAGCTGGATTTATTTCTGTGATTAGAAATGGAAGAAACTAAGCTGCTAAGAATGAAATTCCCTCCTGTTGTTGGTAGTCTTGATGTAATTGGCTCCATAATTATCAAACAAACCAAACCTGTAGTCAAAAGGTCTAAACTGTGTCATATATGTTTTTAATCATTTACCTCCAGACCTGTATGTGTATATTATATATAACTTTTATTTTTCAGACCTGGGTGTGATGCTGCCCGGTATTAAAACTGAGAGCGGTCTGACCCAGAGTCAGTCTCCCCTCCAGACCGGACTCAGCTACAGTCCTGGATTCACCACTCCTCAGCCTGGACAGACGGCGTACTCGCCCTATCAGATGCCAGGTCAGCTCCCCAGCAGCCAATTACATTGCTGCTCATGTGTTAACGTCTGTATTCCCGTTAACTGGTGTCACTGTTGGTTCTGCAGGTTCCAGTTTCACTCCGTCCTCAGGCCTCTACGCCTCCAACAACTCAGTGTCCAACCCCGCCAACTACACTGCTGCCCAGCAGGTATCACGCACCGTACGGTATCAGCAGGTTCTGGTTCTGTCTGTACGAGCTGCAGTCACATAATAATTCACAGAATCACAGGTTATCTGTAGATGAACTAAATCTCTGAGTGACTCTATCGTGTCCTGGTTTCACATCTCTGTGGTGGTTTTACGTCTTATGGTGGTTATTGAGTGTTTTTGTGGAGCTTCTGCATCATTTCACTTTGGCGTTGAGTGTTTTTATGGTGGTTTTGCATCTTTTCTTGGTGACATTGAGTGTTTTCATTTTTTGTTTTGAGTCCTTTTGTGGGGATTTTGTGTCTTTTTGTGGTGGTTTTACGTGTTTTCGTGGTTTTTGTGAGTCTCTTTCAGGTGATTTGCTTGTATTTGCGGTGATTTTGGATATTTTTGTGGGAGGTCTGCATCTGTTTGCGGTGTTTTGTGTGTTACTATCGTGGTATTACATCTTCTCGTGATGATTTGTGGATTTTTGTTGTTTCACAGCTTTTTGTGGTGATTTCTCATCACTGTGGTGATTTTGCATCTGTTTGCAGTGGGTTTGAATCCTCTCATTGCATTAATGACTTTTTGTTGCTCATTCACAGCTTCTTGTGGTGATTTCACATTTGTGGTCGTTTTGCATCTTTTCTTTCTGATCTTGCGTCTTTTTGTGTTGTATACTGAAATGATGAGAACAGAATCCTGGAGGACTGTTGATGGAGAACCTTCCTCCTAATGAAAGTAACACCAGGGATTGGTGAGAAAGATCCACCACCGGATCCAGCAGAACACCAGCAGAACACAGAATATGTTCTGTTTGTTTCTCGTCCATCAGGTTAAACCTCCAACATTCAAACAGAGTCCATTTCTTCCGATGTTTTCTTCCAGATCACACCTCGCGAACACATTCACTCTGAGCAATCCAGTAAAATCCATTTTCTGTGTTTTTCTGGCTCCGATCAGAGAACCGGGTTTTGCAGAAGTCGTATTTGAGAGCAGAAGTGGTTTCACAGTTGTGCTCCCACGCAGCTCTCAGAAATAAAACCTGATTACGCTGCGATGCTGCAACTCACAGAGAAACACACAATTAGTCTCCTTGAAAGAGCGTTTTGTTCCGAGCCTTCGTCCACGTCCGCATGATGAATTGTATTGTGGTAGTAAAATGCTTAAAGGGGGATTTGAGTGTCTCGCTATGATAGATGTGGCTGTTTACAGGAAGAAAGTCCAGGTTTGGCCCGAGTGGCTGGATTTAGGGG